GTAACGGAAACAACCTGTTGGCAATCCCAACAGTTAATCTAAGGCACCAGCCACCGTCAGAGCATTGTTAAATATTTCAAGTGCTTAGGAGTGGGTATATTGCATCCCAATGTCCTAATCAGCGTGCTATAATTATCCAAGATGATGGAGATATCATCAGTGACCACGAAAGCAGTAATGAGTAAGAAGATCTACTGCTAATGGATGCAAAGAGAGTTCGACAAGTATAGTGAGATTTGTTTGTGGCTTAATGAGCACTAAACAAACAGGTTAAGCCCGAAGACAACAGTTACAGAGAGACTATTTTCCACTTTAGGTGCCTGGTTAATGGAAAGGTCTATAGTGTGATAGTTGATGGAGGCAGTTGTGCTAACTTTGCTAGTACCTCGCTGGTAGATTAGGCAGGGTTGACGTGCAAACAACACCCCACTCCCTATAAGTTGCACTAGTTGAATGACAGTAAAGGAATCAACATCACCTAATAGGTATGTGTCCCATTCTCTATTGGTGACTCACATATGAGATATTGTGCAATGTAGTTCTCATGCAAGTAAGACACTAGTTGCTAGGAAGGCCTTGGCAATATGACTAAGATGTCAGCCATGCCAGCGAAAAGAATTAGTATTTGATCCGAATGAATAACCACACATATGTTCACCTTTGTCAAGAAGGGACACTTATGAGGATCAATTGAAAATTAAAAAGTCATACGAGGAGTTCGCAAAGAGACAGGCGAAGAAGGACCACAATTCGTATCTGAACAAAAGGTGTTTCTTCATTCAAGAACAACTCGAGCACCCCACCGGATATATGATAAATCCTCTATCTTCATTGACCTTAAATGAAAATTTATAGTCTCCACAAATTCGAGCACGAATCCTCTTAGAGAAGGAGGGATGACGCGATACCTACTGAAACCACACCTAACCTAGAGGTGTGCAAAAAGCGAGCAAGTATAGATAAGCTTCCAGGAAATGAAAGAAAATAATTGTGAGGTAACAATATTTCAAGCTATGCTATTCCCAACCAAGTATCACATATCAAGGCTGAATCCACCAAACAGAGTCCCCGCCCTAAGAAAAAATGACACCAAAAAGGGCCAAAAAACTTGGAGGATAACGGGCCTTACTACTAAGGAATGACTTGACTCAAAAATTCTAATCCAAAAAGAAAGCCTGAATGTAGTATGGGTATGGGTAATTGTAGGGTACACATATGTTGCCCTATACATATAGGATACTTTGTCCACATGTCCACCGGTGTTCCAAGGTCCCATGATGAAATAGTCAAGGCAACTTTATACTCTACAAGAAAACCGGGGACTGGTAACTTTTCCGGCGCATCAACCTGAAAGCCCGCACGCGAGTAAGGCTTCCCATACGTGTGCCGGTCATGCAGCCCGACTAACACAGCCCACAAACATGCTTGTGTGCCCACACGAATTGCATGCATAAGCGTCCGGGAATGCCCATGTGAAACCAACTGCTCGCGCGTAGGCCCATGGAATTGAGTGTGCACATCCTGTGCAGGCGGGCTCGAGGTCGGCCTAAACATGCCAACCAGCAATTCCTACGGGACTTTTCCATATAGCTCGCACAGATCAACTAGCCTGGCCTATTCGGAAGACCCAAACCTAGCCAACCCTTTTGCTTCTTAATTATTTAATATTTTTTTATTTTTTATTTTAATTGGGCTTTTAGGACCCACTTTTTAATTACCTATATTTTAATTAAAATCTCACATGTTTAAATTAATTTTCACATGTGTTTTTATATGAAATTCACATGGGATAAGTATTAAAATATTTTAATTATTATTTTATTGTAAGTCTATTTCTTAAAATTTTTTAATTAAATTTTTTGAGATAAAATAATTATTTTATTGTATAATTATCCTAAACTTAGATAAAATTTTATCTAGAGTATTATTTTATTAAATTATTCCAAAAATTTGTATTAATCTAAATTATCTTGAAAAGTCTATAAATGCTTTACCCCTATATTGTAAACACCAATTACAATCAATTTGAGATAATTCTTGAAAACTTAGGCTTTTCTTCTTTTAGCATTTTTATTAAAGTAGCTTCTTCAATTTTTTTTAAAAGCAAGAGTCTTTAGAAATCTTATTGAGTCAAAGAGCAAAGATCAACTTATCGGTAAGTCCATGACATTTTTTCTTTCCTTATTTATTTTTCCTAATCGTTGTTTTTACATTTTTTTTAGGATTATAGATTTAATTAGAGGAAGTGGTTTATCTAGACGATTATAATTTCGGTAGTGCATAATGTTGTGTGGGTTATAGGCATTGATTCGATCATCCTCATACCCTTCTGCATCACCCTAGTGCCAACCGAAAGCACCAGTGATAAATTGAGCCACTAAACTAATAATAAAATATAAAAATACAGGATTATCACATCCCCATACATAAATAAAAAGTAGTATTTTAATCCACTATGGTTAATTATATTTTATATACATAATATTTTTTCAAAAAGAAACAAAATACAAAATAAAATTAACCTAAAGCCTTTCCAAAATAATCTCCAACAATCTGCTTCCCTAGTTCTCCTTGAAGGAGTCTAGACATGGCTCGACTGGAATCTCCTCACCTAGCTCATTTGGGAGAAATGGATTAGGATTGAGTTCCATAAAACTTACTATGCAAATACATTTCAAAATAGTCACTAGAAAAAATTAATAATTAATGAAATTCCCATACATGTGCATACTTCTCATATTATCTACTCAATAGTGCCATTCTTCTTATCAAAGTGCCAATGTATTACATCTAGAATATCACAATCAATCAATAGTCTTAACACACATATCCTCCACCTTGTTATTAAGACTAAAATTTTATAGTTTTAGAGATTACAGACTTATTATCTTACAGTTAATTAAAGTGAGTCCACATTTATGCGCGCAGCTGCTAACCATATTTCCAAGGAGGACAACAAAGGACACCACCATCTATGAAATGGGTAAACAAATTACATCTGTCAATAACAATTACATGCATCATCATAAAATAAATAAGTACAGAAAAAGGACACTAAGCACTTTGGTCCATACACGCTAGGTGTCTCGGGTCGCCATAGTGCCAACTATCCTAGATAGTAATAGTAACAACTTTCTCAGACGACTTCATTTCACACGGTGGGTGCAACTATCTCAGATAGCCATGGTCACATTTTGTCCTTGACAAATTATGTCCCAACTATTCAAACATACCCCCAAGTCATAGGCCTAGTGGCTCCTGCAAGTTACTACAATTACCACTACCTCCAAAGAAAACTAGAGAATCAGATTTAGACTCAACAATGTGATTTCATTTTGTTTTCTATTTATTAGCCTTTAAGTCTAGGTCCCTTAATCTATGCATTTACCAATATCAATTTATAGGTTTATTATTGAAATTCCCAAATTTCTCATTTCTTCAAAAATTGCAACGTTATATTCACAATTTTCTTATGTTGTGTTAATTTTCTTATATTAATTCCAAAATTGAATTTTTTTTTCATTTTTCTTTCTTTATAAATTTTATCCATTTTCATTCATTAAATTAATTTCAAGTTTAATGAATTTTACAATTTCTGAATATTGCACCTTATTGGTGCAGGGAGAGGCTTTCCCTTAAGCCTTACCCGAGGCTAAGAACCTAACGACGTATCGACCTGCACAAGCACTCAGCGCGTGTATGCCTATCGACATGCACAGCCCATGAACTAATGCACAACAGTGGGTCCTTGGTGCATAAGTCTTAGGCATGGCTTGGCACCAAGGCAGGTGCCCCTGCACACATTGCACACAAGGCACGCATGGTGCCTACGACATAACACTCTTGGCACAATGGGGGTGCCTAGCAGTATCCTTCCTCTCGTGCGCAGTGTGATGCGCATATGCAGCACGCAAGAGGACATAATCTTGGCACTTGTGGGCGCCTAGACAGTGCCCCACCATGGTAGATGCCATGTAGCCCATCTACGCTGACACTTGGGTGCCTGGACTGTACAGCAGGAAACATCTGGCTTTGCACCGATAGCTCTTCATGATTTTCTATCATTTTTGCTTTTGTGACCAATTAAAATCCACAAAAACACATCATACATCATCAGTAAACATTCCAAATTCAAATACGTTCACAAAAAGAGTAAATAATCAAAGAAATCGATGCATGCACACACTCACACTTCTATTTTCATCAAAACCACGTGTTTTCCAGTTTTCTTCAAGTCTTACCTTCTAAATACATATAAAAAGGGCAACATTTACATAAATTAAAGTATTATCCCTCTTACCCGATTGACGCACAAATTAGATTCCAAAATAGACAAGGAAATGATTATAAAAACTCAAAGGAATCAGCAAAGACTCGCCTGAACGGTAAATCAGAGTCAAATTGTGTTTTGGGAAATATTTGCAGAATTTGGGCAAATTTCACCATAAGGATTTATTCCTCAAAAATCCTAACATGTAAATCGACTAATTTACAGCCTACATTTGGAAAAGAATTGTAAATAAAAAAGAGATTGAAAGAAAAACAGCAACTTATCCAAATAGAGATGTCATTCAGGTGCTGCAGTAAGGATTTGGGATTTCAGGGCTTACTACTATGAATCGGAAGCTAGTTTTGTGCAAGAAGTGTTAAGCAACATAAAAAATGAAGAGAATAGCTCAAAAGAAGAATAAATCGACTTACCTCAGTTAGAAAGAAATTAGATTCCTCTTCGATGCGCCTACACTCAACACCCTCTGTTTTTTCTACCCTCTCTCTCTCTCTTGCTTCTCTCTCTTCCTCCCACACTCAGAATCCTCACAAAAGGAGCTCTCAATTCTCTATATTTTCTCATTCTCTATGAAAAAATAAAGAAGACAGAAGGAAAGAAGGCTTTTGAATGGAGTTTTCTGTATCAAGGAGGACAGTTGGATGACATGTAATGTATCCTGGCCCTTGATGAGGATAAGTGATTGACATGCATGAAGTAGGATGTCTAAGATCATGACAGTTAGAAGGGATTTACCTGCAACAGTCCACTCTGATGTCCACTCAAACAAGAAGTGGAAATCTGTCAAATCGAAGTTCCAATCTGACACGCCCACGGTAACCCTTACCTAAGGATAAGGCCTAAGCGACATACACCTGTGGATTTTGAATTTTCTAGCCCTCGAGAGTGTGGGGAAGCCTAACCTCTACCCTTGCCTAAGGGTTAAAAGAAGGCAGGGACTCAGGTTGAGAATTTCTCTAGTCAGCGGGCACCAAATTACCATCAACCAAATTCTTCATGTTTCCTTTATATTTAAAATAGATTTAAAATACAGAATAAATTTAAGACATATATAAGAAAATATCTCTTTATTAATTTGTAAAGGATTACAAGTTTCAAAATGTTACATTTTGGCCCCCTTAAAATGAAATTTTTTCT